TGAAATAAAAAAAAATTTGAGTTTTAGTATTTCATTAGTGTATCCCCTATTTTAAATATAGCTTTTTACCTAGGATATTTTGATAAGTATATGTAATAGGATATGCTTCCTATTGTTTTTATTAATTTTATGCAGTAGCAGGATCAAATTCGTTTTTGCACCTGATCTTCAATAGCGAGTATTCGTTTTCATGCGTAAACGATTCAGTTAAAAAAATTCGTTTTATTGCACCAATTGTTCAATTAAACGGGATTTTTTTAATTGATTTACCCGCTTAATTGATACAAAAAGTGTGCAACTTTTCTCGGTTCAATTAACCGGGGAGAACTGTATACCTAATTAGAAGGCATTAGTTCTAAATAAAACATTGAACGCTCATTATTATATTTTCTTATTATATAAGTAATTAAGCTTTGACTTCATAAGAAATAAGAATGTATAAAAGAAAATTTTTAATTCTTTTCATTACAAAATATTTGAATGCTATTTTCTTTATAAAATAAGTTTTGCTTATCTTTATAATAAAATTGTCGTATTTAATTTTCACTTAAATTATTTGTTTATATGTATAAAAAAAAATATTTGTTCTATATAGAGCTATTGAAGCTTACAACTTACAGCACAATAAATAAAGAAATAAAATAAAGAAAAGTTTAAATTGGACGGAAACTCGATTGTATAATGAACCGATCGATTGCGGTTTGAAATAAAAAATTACTATACATGTGTGTATTTAGAGTGTTTCATATAGTGATATGCGGGCCTATATATGTACATACAATTGTGAAGACCTTCTTTTATAAGGGAAAAAACAAATTTTTCAATAATTGGTCTTCTATTGCAACCGATTAAGGAAGTAGAACTTAAAAAAGAAAACATTTTTTTTCGGGTGACTTTAGGTAAAGTAAACTATAATTTTTGATGTGTCAGGCATAACTGCAAATTTAGGTATAATTGTACCACCTATCCAATGATAAGGGGTCAAGAGGCTATTCAACAAGTGTACGAAGAATTTTTTAGGACTTCAAAAAATGAATTTTAAAAAAATTTTAATTTTTTTTTTTAACAACAGTTTTTTTTTTTTTTCGGTGACATAACAAGACACCTATTCAAAATTATTCAAGATTGAGAGAGGTACACTTGGAGCTTTTAATATTAAGTCATAACACACATTTTGGAGTACTAGTTCACTTTGTAGTGGTACATTGATATATGCTATGTTGCGCTTCTTAACGTTCATATATGTAAGTCATTGCACGACAGAGAACACCTTGTACATAAATTAACTTACAAATATATACATTTATGTTATACATGTACATGTGTGTGTTTGTAATCGAGTTCTCAATTATTATTGAAAGAGTTTTTATAATGTCTTATATTATTATTAATTTTTCTTTTTTTTTTTAAATTGATAGATAAAATTGTTATAATAATAAATTTAGCTTTATTGTTTAAATAATCATTTTTGAAATTTTATTTGTTTCTTCTTTTTCAATTTCTCACTTTAAAAATTGCATTATTTAACATTGAATGCAGTCAATTCAATGAAAATGATGAGTAATTAAATAAGAAAAGAAAAAATAAAAAAATAATTTTTCTAGTATTTTCTGGTAATAATGCAAGTGGAATTTTCTCTCTTTGTTTTAATTTTTTTTTTGTTTTGGAGAATTTAATCAAAATTTTATGGACGAAAGAAGGAAAAATTTCTCTCCTTTTATTATACTTAATTAATTAATTAAGTAGATCAATTTTTTGCAGTTATTGCGGATAAATAAAAGCTTTGAGTTTAGTTTTTTTTTTGTCTTCAAAATTTCAAATTTATTTCAAACAAATTTTCCATAGCATTTCTTTTCAAAAGTAATTCATTTGCTTTGTATTTAACTACTTGGTTTCTTGCTACCACTTTAAAATTTGATAATATTTAAAAAAAAAACTAAAGTGAATAATTTTGAGTATTAATTTAATTATTGATTTATTAAAATATTAAATTGGATTATCAGAACTAATATACATGAGGGTTTATTTAACTTAACTTTGCTAACTAATCTACATATATAGCAAGTAGGTGGTTTATTTTCCGGAGATTTTGTATTTATTTTATTTTCTACATAAATAGTGTTATTGAGTAAGAATTATTTGAAAAGAGTACATGGAATTGCTTTGATAATATTTGTAAAATTATAATAGTTTTTGAAATTTAATATTTTAAAATTCTATTTCAAAGTGATATTTTCTTTAAGAATTATAAAAAAATGCATATTTGTCATGTATATACTCGTACAAAAATATAGTGAAATCAAAATAACTGTGAAATAACAAATAATTCAATAATAAGTAAGAAGTTCAAATACCTATATAATTTTGTTAAATTATTTTGCACTCTGTAGTGAGCCATGAAAATCTTTCACACGCTGCGTAATAAGTATATGTAGTTCTGTGCTTCAAAATTTGAGATTTCAATACTAGCTTAGACATTGTTGGTATATTACAATAAGAAAATGAAAACTTAGGGAAAGAAATCTCCTGAATATTGCAAGAAATTTTTTTTTATTATACAAGTTTTAAGAAAATAATCTCTTTTTCCACTATTCCTTCTTTCTTTCAACAATGGGGAAGATACATACGTATAATTTATAATATCACGCATATCCAAAATACGAAAGTTAAAATAGAGGCTCCCAAAAAATAAACAGGGGGATACCACAGTGTAAAAGATGTCAACGTTATGGCCATTCTATAAAGTTTTGCAGCAGGGAAGCGACATACCTGACAGCTTTCTGAAACTGGATGTGTATTTCACTCCACAGGTAAGCCGACCTATTGGCCCACAGATCTTAACAAAACACCTGATCTCTTGGATTTCTTTATAACAAAAAGAGTGGAAGAAAATTTCACCACTGTCGAGGGCAGCTATGATTTTGAATCCGATCATTCTGCGGTAATCCAAAAAGTGAGCGAGAAGGTGTTGAAAAAAGAAGCCTTCTATCTTTAACGCGACTACGGATTGGAAAAGTTTTAAGTTAAACTTGAAAGTGAGAATAGACCCAAATGCAGTACTGAATACAGAAGACGATGTAGAAGCAGCCGTAGAAAAATTTACGAAAGATATACAAAATTCAGCATGGGAAAGCACAAATTCCAGCACAGAACGAAAATTTGGTTACTATTATCACAGACACATAATAGATGATAAGCCAAAAACGTGAAGCCAGGAGAAGGTGGCAGCAAACACGAGATCCAGCAGATAAGGTCACTATTATTTAAAAGTGGCAGTAGAATTTCAGCGCATCAGTTTGGGTTCAGAAAGAAACACTCACCGATAGAACAAGTTCATCGAATAAAAAATATTATTGAAGAAGCTCTGGAAGAAAAATGTTCCTCAGTGTTTCTTGATGTGGCACACGGATTCGATAAAGTATGGCATGAAGATTTTCTTTACAAATTGCATAGGATTTTACTAAAAAACTTCGTTGAAATAATAGAATCCTACTTGGCAGAAAGAGTCTTTTATATCAAGTAAGGGAAAGATAGATCTCAGTTGAAAAACATACAAGCAAGTGTTCCTCAAGACAGTATCTTAGGACCAGTTTTGTATCTGCTGTTTACTAGTGATATTCCGAAGATGGTTCATATAACGATGGCAACTTTTGCGAACGACACAGCAGTTCTAGCAGTTGCAAAAAACGTAAACGAAAGCTACGTATTAACTACAAAGGGCCACTAATAAGATTTCCCAGTGGTTTAAAAGTTGAAAAATCAAATTAAATGAATCCAAATCTTCAAACATCAACTTTATCAACAAAAAAGTAGAAACACCTCTCCGGGTTTCAATAAATAACGTTACTATTCTACATGAAAATTCAGCCAAATACCTAGGAATGCCAAGAAAAAGAAGGCTGTAAATCTAGCAACAAAATTTTGATCTACAATCAAATATTAAAGGCGGTCTGGGCTTTTGTGCTAATATTCAGATATGGAGTTGTGCAAAGCTACTTCATATTCAAACGTTTCAAAATAGAGTAATACGCAATATGGTCGGCATTCTCTGGTACGTTCGTAATACTGATATAAATAGGGATCTCAGGATTCCTTTCATTACAGACAAAATAAGGAAAAGGGCTGGCCATAAAATTCGTCTTGCCCAACACGTCAACGAAGAGATTTGAAAATTTTGTTAGACGACTCAAACGAACGAAACCCTTTGAAATGTGTTAGGATAACATTTATTAACCATCAAATATTCCCAATGGAATTCTTGTAGATCATAGAGTTCTTTAAAAAAAAAAATAAATTTTCGGTCAAATTTATATTAATGGTTAGTTTGATGACTAATTTTAGTTTAAACAACAATGGAAAGTTTTAGTGACCTTAAAGTGGCACAGTACTTCAACCCGCGCCCCAGTAAGCGGCCACTGAATTCTCTGTCGATTATTTCGTCCAATCGAAAAAAAAAGAAAAAAATTATGCGGGTTAATGATAATTTTCATTTAACATAGTGTAAAATGTGCTGTATAAATTTTCTAATACAAGCATTATTTTTCATTATACTTACTTAATTTTTGTAACATTTTTCGAATAAATATAAAACGTGATATTTTAGCCGTATCAGTGTTTAAATACCTCAATCTGGTTTTAATTTGAAAGACTTCATTACTGGATTTTTATTAATAATTTAATAAAAAATGAACAATTAAATTCCAAGAATCTCACAATTTTTACACAAAAGAAAAAATATTGCTATTATATAAAATTATAAAATAAACTGAGGGGTGTGTAAACATGATAATCAACATTTTAGCTGTCAAAATTAAAATTAATCATTTATGATACAATTAAAAAATCATTTATAATAAATATTTCACGTAAATAATTTTATAATTTCGAAGATCAATAGAATAAATCCAGGGTTTAAAGTATACAACCATTACTTTTTTTTTTGTTTAATTAATTTGAAAATTAATATTTTTTTTTAATTTAATTTCATTTTACTATTACAGATTTTACATGAGAAAAATGTTCTAAATATGATTTGTTGAATAATATTTTTGAATCACTTAAGCACCATTGTGAATTAATTATATTTATCAAGTGCCTCAAATAAAATATTTATTATTGTAGTTATACAAAAAGAAATTATAATAAGAAATAAAATTACAAGTTATTTACAATAAAATTTAAGAAAAAAGAAGAAGAAACAGGCAATTTTCCCTTAAAAATAAAACAAATGTTTACAAATTATATTCGATCAATGATCAATCAAAATCTCTTAATAGAAATTCAAATTTATTTAATTACCACTGCAGTTGGTGGATAAAAAAATAAACCAAAAAATCCAAAAATCTGAAATAAAAACATAAAATAAATGTTTAAACTTAAACAAAAAATAAAAATATATTTTTACATAATTTGACAATATTTCAAATTTTAAAATAATTAACAAAAAAAGGGAAATATAAAGGACTTAAAAATTTTATATACAAAGGATCCAAATAACATAAAGTACAAAATAATTCAACAAGAAATATAAAAAAAAATTGATTTCATTTTTAATATTTATACAAAATTAAGAAAAAAAGGAATTTTATATAATATAATATAATATAAAAGAAATTGGCGGAATTAAACACAGATGGCACCAGCTGATGACGCACTTAAACTTAATGAAAACTCTAAAACCCACAAGAATTTCTCATCAGATACAAATCTATCAGATATAGTTGGGGATCTTAGTCAAAGTAATAAAAGTTTAGACATGATACCAGAAAAATCACAAAATATTACCGTTGTTACCGTTGTTGGTGGTGGCAGTGGTGGTGGTGGTGGTTGTACCAACAATAATAATTTTATTGAAGCAAAAAATGTTGCTTTTAACAAAAATTTTTCTATATTACAACAACAAACAACAATAAAAAGTAATAATGAAATTGGAACATCAACATCAGAAACTATGCAACATAATGTTGCAACAAATAATAATAATAACAATAATAAAAATGATAAACTTGCCAAAGATATTGATGAATTAGCGAAAATCTATCATGAAGAACATGATGAATTAATTAAAGGTAAAACATGTGCTACTGTTACCAATACCACTATAACATCAAACATATCTAAAAATAATAATAATAATGATAATATTATTAATTCAAGTATCATTAATACGGATAATGAAGATGCCGGTGAAGATGCTGATGATGAAGATGAATTTGAAAGAGTTTTTGAAAATTCAATGCAAAATTTAGAAAAAAATATGGATAATTATGAATCATCAAGTTCTGAAAATTCAGATTGTGAATATTGTGATACAGAACCTCCATCTACTAATATTATAAATACAAATTATGAATATAAATCGGGTAATAATTATATTAAAAATATGATTAATAATTTACCATCAATTAATCAAAGTGGCGGTTTAACAATTGAAACACCACCAATTAAAATCAAATCAAATGGTAATACAATATATCGTACTCGAGCTGAAAAATTAAGAGAAAATGAATTAAAGGAATCAAATAATAAAAATAATGATGGATCAGATATTAGTGATTCAGATGAAGATTGTCCAAATAAAATAATTGATGAAATTGCTAAATCACCGAAATTATTACCAAATGAAATGTTAAATAATCATAAAATATTTTTATTTAGACCATTTAGTTTACCATTTCAAGAACGTCGACGTTTATCACAATGTAAAGAAGAAGATGAAAATGAAGATTGTGATAATAATAAAATTTCATCACAAAAATCTGATCCAACTGTTCAAACAAATACAAATGATTTAATAAATCCAAGAAGAGAAAGAAATTCATATAAAAATTTACGATCTCCACCAGTACCTGAAAGTCAATTAATGTCAGAAAAATTTAAAGAATTAGAACGTCTTCGAGATCAATTTCGACGAAAATTAGAAGAGATTCATCCATCAACAATTGGATCAGAATCATTAGAAATTGATAATACAAATATTATTAATAATAATATGGGCACAAATTCAAATAGTACAAATAATAATTTAAATCCAAAGGTTTATAAAGGTAAATTTGTTGTTACAAAAGCTGAAGATCCATCATCACAAATATTAAATAATCAAACAACAAATAATATAATTAATAATAATAATGTTAATAATGATAATAAAAATAATAATAAAAATATAATACAAAATGATGTTCCAAAATTACGTTCTGAAGCTGTTAAATTAAGAAGTTTACAACCACAAATGAATTCCTTTACAATACATTTTCCGAATAGTAAAGGTATTAGTGGACATACAAGAATACAAAGTTTATTTGGACCAAAAACAAATGAAAATAATAATGATAATACAAATATAAATAATCATAATATTAATAATAATGATTTAAAAAGGCATACAGTATCATTTCAACCACATTTAGATAAAAAATTTTTTGATACATCATTAGTTGAAATACGTCCAATATCTGATAGTACAAAATCATTAGATAATTGTGATAGTATTAAAAAAATTACTGATGATTTACATAATATATGGGTACCGAGACCATCTAATAGTGTTACGCCTGCATCATCAAAAACATCAGTTGATGTAAGTAATTTTTCCAATTTCTTTTTCTTTATAATAATTTTTATAAATTTGAAAGTAAATTCAGTCAAGTACAATTTATATTTTAATATTAAATTTTAATATAAAATTATGTATTAAAATTTTTAATGTTAAGTATAGTAAGACTTAAAATGCATTAAAAAACAAGCAACAGTGTCGCGAATCTAATATACGGCGTAAGTAATTCAACTTTGGATCATCTTATCGTTCATTTCGGCCGGAATATAACCAGAAACATATTCAATAAAGAGTTCCAGTTGATCCGAAATTGTCGATGTAAATAGAAAATTTCATGTGCCCTCCAAGAGCTGAGTTAGATTCGTTTGATTCAGGCGCTCGATTGTGAGGTGTAATACGTGAAGTGGTTAGTTTTTTTAGAATTTATAAGTAAAGTAAAAATTATGTTCCATTTCTGAAAGGAACCATTGCAACATCTGAAAAATCATCGTATGAAAATATTTTTCTGGTTTCTTAGGCTAATTTACAACAACTTACAATTCAATCTAATTCGTTCGTTCTATTTTTGATAAAAATTAATAAATGGTACCTTGCGTAAAATATTTAATCAACAATATTAATAAATTTTTCAAATTAATAATTTTACCTACTTAATAATATTAATTAGATTTTCTTCGTTTTAAACAAAAAAAATTTTTAATTTTCTATTTTTGTTAACACCATAAAGACCTCCTCCTTCTTCGATTTCAAAAACACTCAATTTATCTTCGCAATTTATTACTTTTTATTATGCGTATAATGAGAAAGACAAAATGAAAAAACAAGAAATGAAATTGAATTCCGAAAATAAATTCATCGTCAATCACATACATGACAGAATAGCTCCTTTCTGAATTTCCTTTCACGAATTTCCATGTTTTTTGGACACCGAAACCAAAAAAAGCAAATCATTTACACCATACGACTGAAATCGTATAAGTACACATGTTTTTTATTTTTTTGTTTTTTTATTCTTATTAAATAACGCACAGTGATATTTTAAATTAGAGACACTATACTAAAATAGATAATAGGAGTGGTAAATATTTAGTTACCACTATAAACTATTTAGGCAACTAAAATAATACATTTTTAAATTGTAAATTGCAGAGCTTTTGAGTCCTAACGCTTAAGTCTGAATCTTATAGCTTTTTCTGTCTTCTTGTTATCCTTGTTTCCAAAAAGGGAGCTAAAGAAAACGGAGGCGTTAAAAAATTTCAAATATGAAGTAGAAGTTTTTTTGCTATAAAGAAGTTGAAGCTTTTTAATTTAGCGCACCTTAGCAAGTACATAAAATATGAAGCGCCGTCAAATCCTCCGTACAGTGTAATACGTGTAATAAGATGATCTGTAAGATCATCAAACCAAGAAAATATTGGTTCACTTGACAACTATTCTCGTCAAAAAGTCTGTTATTATACAAAACTCTTTACTGTTCATCGCTCCTACCTCCATAACTATCAACAGCTTCTTTTTTCCTTTTAGTCTGTTATTTTGGTAGTATTACTTCAACTCGATATTCGTACATCTAGATAATCAGCTTAGCTGCTATCCATGATAATGATATAAAATCAGTTCTACAGTATTTTGCATAAAATGTCACACAAACACGGGAGCAGATGATGTCAAAAAAAAAAATGCCAGTGATAAAATAGGAATTTAGACAAATTTACTGAGGGCGGCGAAATTCGCGGTGGTAATTTCTATGCAACAGTGTGTGTACAAAATTATGTGTATTCCAAATAAATTCGGACATTTCGTCGCAGAATATTATCGCCTTTGTTCTGTTTTCAACTTAGGTGTACCTTCGGACTATGGGAGAGCATTTTCAGGGCCGCCGTGTTTATTATTATTTTAACTCCCCTACACCAATTTTATAGGGGCAAAATTGCTAGAAAACTAAATAACTTTCTCATATTTTCTTTTTCTTTAATTGCTACATGTATTATTCAAAATTTAAATTATTCAAAATCAAAAAATTTTGCGAACACTAATGGAATTTCCAAATCTTTTATGTTATTTGTTTTAAAAAATGATTCACAATAAGAAGAAAATAATAAAATTAAAAATCGAATATTATTCAATGGAATCGAATTGCTCGGCATACGACAAAAATATCAATTTAGACAAATTAAAATAATAATAATAATAAAATAAAATGAGAGTCAAAATAAAACAAAAAAAAAAATGCTTATAATAAATTAAAAATAAATTAATTTAATTGAAAAGTATTATTGTTATTATGAAGAAATTCTCGTGTTGTTTATTCACGATCAATAAAAATTAATTAAAATGCTTGTATTATAAGATGTCTTCTGTCAATTTATTTACTTAAAATATAATTCAAAGATATATTAGTGTATTAGCTCATACATTTAGTACAAATATACCCATAATACACATACATTTACGTACACATATTAGTATTGAAATATTTAATTAAAATTAAGGAAAAAAAAGAAAATGGTAGAGGAAATTGTGTTGTAATAAAATTTTATGAAATCAACTAAGATTTTTTTTTTGTTTTGTTTTTACATAAAACCCGACCAATTTAAATAGAAAAAAAAGTTTTCCTATAAAATTTATGATTATCTATTCTATAATATTTTATAATAAAAAAAAAAGTTTTTGAATTTTTTATTATGGAATCAGTGGCTGACGTATATTTGTAAATTAGAAGTAATGTTTTGTGTATGTTCAACTAAGAGTCTACTAAGACAACTATTTTAAATCGATTTACTTAATTTGACTGAATTTAATTTTATTTGAAAACGAATGCATGAAAATAATATGAAAATTTTGAATTTTTTACAATTTACCATAAAGCTGTGACAAAATATTGAAAGACAATCTGGTGAAAAACATCAACTATTTCAAAATTTCGTAATTTTGCATTGATTAGAAAAGAATCTTGAAATTCCGACTCCGATATTGGCTATCGGAGCTTAAACAATCGATTATTCTTATAATTCTAATTGAAAATTTTTGTTAACAGTTGAGAATTTTTTAGATTCCGCAATTCAGTGGCAACTATAATTCAACACATTATTTCACTGAAAATTCGGTAATCTTCTAATATTTAATTGGACTAAAGTAAACCCTATAAATTAAATTGCTCAAGAATATTTATTTGTTGATGCTTGTTGTATATATATGATTCACGTGGAAGTTTTGTAATTTTGAACCAATGACCTTTTATTATTGTTTGTGTGCTGACAAAGTATTTAACTCGAAATTTTAATATTTTCATTTAAATAATAGCTATGATATTAGAAAAAAATTTATGAGAAAAACTAATAATTCGTTATTTTACAATATTAATGAGAATAGTTTGCATTTGTGGTAGTTCTCCAAAAATTTGTCGTAATGCTACAATGAAATTTGGAATGTGGCACTAACCAAAATTGGGTTTTATAAAAAGGCACACAATAAATTTCAGAAATAAATTTTCTTTGACCGGTACAAATTACCATTGAAGGTCGCTTGGTACTTACTACACTTTTTCGGTTTGCCGTTTTCAAATTTTATTGTACAAAAATGAACTCATTTGAAATTTATGGTCTAAAAGCTACCGAAAAGAATTTTTTATTACTATGACTTCCAAAATGCAGTAACCCGGTATTAATCTACAATTCAGCAATTCACACTTATAAGCTGAATTGTGTATATTTATGTCGCATGACTGTATTTTAGAAGTCAAGGTATTTAAGAATATTAGTAAATGATTAAGTTAGACGCAAAAAGTGAAAATTTCAACTCTAAGACATGACAAATTGTTAAATTGTGAATAAATTGGCCGCAGTTTGAAATTGTTATGTAAGCAGCGACAGCCAACCAAAAATCGAAAGCATTTTCGACTTTTTTTAATTAATATATTTTTCAACACCCTGTTCTTTACAATATTGTAAGTTATAAATATAATTTTAAACTTTTCTCTAATATTTATCACTCTTTCCCGAAAAAAAAATAATTTAATTATAAAAATTCTTGAAAATTTTGACGAAAAGGAGTGATGTATACTGTCTATGTATTTAGAAACATGACGGTGCACATATTGTATAAGAAGACATACTCATTTGTACATGCATATTTTGTTTTTGTTTATAATCCGGATAAATACAGACCTTCTGGCGACTAAAATAATAATTTTTTGAATTTATTTTTGTTTTTTTTTTATATTTGTATTTAATAAGAATTTTTCTCGAAATTGCATAAATACAATTTGTAAATTGTTTATTTTTAAAACCAGATAATTCTGAATTTTAAGAGTTTACACAAAAGAAAAGAAATTAAAAAAGAATTTCGGGGGTATTTACTTTGGGGTTTGCTTTTTTTTTTAAATAAAACTAAATTACATATTTTATAATAAATTACGTTTATTGATGTATACGTGTTTAGTTATTTTAGATTTAAAAATCAACAAAAATACCAAAATTCAGAATGTGAACAGCATATAATCGAACACATCTTGTTTTTACGATACTTAAAATGCAATGGAATGATGCTGAAAAACGGTAAAGTTCAGAAATAGGCTGAAATTAAAAAGCTGCAGCCAACCGCTGTTACAAACATTTTCGTTAGTGAAATTTCACAAAATAAACTTGATACTATTGCAACACTTTCCATACTGTAAGTATGCAATGCGGGCGGTAAAAATATTTTTGTTTAGTTTTGATAAAATCTAAACAAAAATAATTATGCGTAACAAACGATTTAAGAACGATTAACGAATTTATAATTAAAAAATTTCACAAAACATAAATTTATTTTATAATATTGGAAAATCTCTGTTAAATTTGAATGTTTATATAAGTAGTCATTTTGTCAAAATTCGTTGAATTTTAACATTAACAATTGATTATTGTTAGTTGAGGAAAAGATTCCTTGCAAACTTAATTTTTTTTAATATGTGATGTAGTTGAGTTCTGATCAATACGAGGGTTGTACTTTATAGAACACGCTCAGTTTTCTTATATCATTTTAAT